CCGTTAACGTAAAGTTAAAGTTAAAGTAAAGTTAAAGTAAAGTAAAGTAAGGTAAAGTAAAGTAAAGGTAAAGTAAAGTAAAGTAAGTAAAGTAAAGTAAAGTAAAGTAAAGTAAGTAAAGTAAAGTAAAGGTGGGGAAGAGCCTCCACAAGCTTAACTTCCCGGTTTTAACGTCTAGCTTTAGACCATTATTTGATCTGCCCGACGCGCCAAGTGCAGTACCCCCCACTAGTAGTGAATGGGTCCCGGGGAGGCCTGTGCCGAAGCCTTGGCGATTCTATTAGGCGTTCCCGAAGGAATTGGCTTGGATTGGCGCTGAGCCGGTCAGCTATGCCGCGTTTGTCCTCACAAAGTTTCGACATGGGAGGAATCGAACCTGTGCCCTCTCGGAGGGTTTAGACACTAGCTCCAGCGCCTTCAAAGAAGGCCTTTCTTTGCCGCGGGTGAAGCCTGCAAGCCAGATTGGGATCGAAAGTGCTGCCCAGTGGCGGGCAAGCGGGTGCAATGCATCCGTGGCCAATGCTTGGCGCTCAGTCTCAAGAAGAAGCCCCCGCCCGCTCCCAAGAGGAAGCCCCCGCCCGCTCCCAAGAAGAGGCCCCCGCCTGCTCCCAAGAAGAGGTGTGTCTGCCAATAACGCACAAGAGCTAGCTCAGCGTAGTGTGCTCTTTGGGCATCGCCGATTTGCTTGCTACATGGCTGCACCGCATTAGCTGACACTGTGTTGCCCCTGGTTGCCGGCTTTGGACCAACACTTTTGTTCAACGGTCTTGCAGCCCGTGAGTGCACATCAGGCTGCATGGCCGAGGCTGTATCATGCTTTATTGGGACTGTCGTTACAATGCATGCTTGCTGATGTGCTGCACCACATGTGGCTGACATGTTCTATTGCGCCTGGTTGTCGGCCTCGGACCCCTTGTGTGTCTTCGATGGTCCTGCAGAATGTGAGCGCTGGTTAGGCAAACTTTGTTTCTTGCTTTGTAGACGGCTTATGACTTTGTCAAGCATTGTCTTCTTGCTGCGTGCTTGCCGCTGTGTTGTACCACATGTGGCTGACATGTTGTGTTGCCGTCCCTTGTCGGCTTCGGTACCCTTGTCTCTTCGATGGTGTTGCAGCGAGTGAGTGCTTGTTTTGTAAGCGGTGTGTCATGCCTTGTAGATGAGACAGGTCATGCATTGCACTGTGTGCTTGCTCCTAAAGCCACATGCTTGCTGTTGCGTCGCACTAGATGTGGTGACATAAAATGTTGCGCCCGCGGCAAAGAAAGGCCTTCTTTGAAGGCGCTGGAGCTAGTGTCTAAACCCTCCAAGAGGGCACAGGTTCGATTCCTCCCATGTCGAAACTTTGTGAGGACAAACGCGGCATAGCTGACCGGCTCAGCGCCAATTCCTTCGGGAACGCCTAATAGAATCGCCAAGGCTTCGGCACAGGCCTCCCCGGGACCCATTCACTACTAGTGGGGGGTACTGCACTTGGCGCGTCGGGCAGATCAAATAATGGTCTAAAGCTAGACGTTAAAACCGGGAAGTTAAGCCTGTGGAGGCTCTTCCCCACCTTTACCTTTACCTTTACCTGCGCTTGGTTGCTGCCTCCAACCCTGTGTCTCTTGGTGACCTCGCAGGCTGTGAGTCCTATTACGCACATATTATACATAGCCTATTATAGCCTATTATAGCCAACAGTAGCCCACCCGTCCGCTCACAGAGAGCCATCGCGCCGGCCTCGCGCCGATCACCCCCACACCCCCACCCTCCACACTCACCCACCCACCCATCAGCATGTCAAGCAGCGAGGGAGCCAGCCTTGGGCAGCGCAGCCAGCAGCCGATCAGCAACCCGGCCTCCCGGGCATCCCTGCGGCCCGATTTCCCCCATATCGTGGTCAAGGGGCTCGCTCTGGAGGCCGGTGGGGGCCTGGGGGCCGCAGTCGCAGCCTTCGTTTTGTTTTGCCGGGCCAGCCTTCACCTGCCAGTGCCTGACTGTGTGCCTGTGACCTGCGTTGAGATTCGGGTGCGTGGGGACGGGCGCAGCGAATGCCACCTGCGACTGACTCCTCCCTGTGCGGCGCCCTGATGGGTGCCCGCCGCCGCCTTTCGTGGGCAGCACCAGAGGTCAGCATTGACCTCTGGCGCTCACCTGGGGAGCTACAATACCTCCATGAGCTGCGCCAGCAGCGCGCGGA